GTGTCAGGCAAGGTTGCTTACTCTCACCTTTTCTCTTTCTCCTGATGATCGACTGGATTATGAAAACGTCAACCTTTGGAGGGAAGCACGGTATCAACTGGACAGTTAGGACGCAGCTGGACGATCTGCACTTCGCGGATGACCTGGCTCTTCTATCGCACACCCAACAACAAATGCAAGAGAAGACGACCAGTGTAGCAGCAGCCTCTGCAGCAGTAGGTCTCAACATACATAAAGGAAAAAGCAAAATTCTCCGATGCAACACAACATGCACCAAACAAATCACTCTTGATGCAGATGCCTTGGAGGACGTAAACACGTTTACATATCTGGGCAGCATCATCGACGAGAAAGGTGGATCCGGTGCAGATGTGAGGGCACGGATTGGCAAAGCAAGGGCTGCATTTCTACAGTTGAAAAATATCTGAAACTCCAAACATTTTTCAACAAAAAACAAAATCAGGATTTTCAATACAAATGTGAAGACAGTTCTACTGTATGGAGCGGAAACATGGAGAACTACCAAAGCCATCATCCAGAAGATACAAGTGTTTATTAACAGCTCTCTAATCAAAATACTTCGGATTCGTTGGCCAGACACCATCAGCAACAACGAACTGTGGGAGAGAACAAACCAGATTCCAGTGGAGGAGGAAATCAAGAAGAAGCGGTGGAAGTGGATAGGACATACACTACGAAAAGCACCCAACTGCGTCACAAGACAAGCCCTCACATGGAACCCTCAAGGCAAAAGGAAAAGAGGAAGGCCAAAGAATACATTACGCCGAGAAATAGAGAAAGATATGAGACGAATGAACAAACATTGGACAGAACTGGAGAGGGAAGCCCAGGACAGAGTTGGTTGGAGAAAATTGGTGGGTGGCCTATGCTCCATTGGGGGTAGCAGGCATAAGTAAGTAAGTAAGTCTTCTTCAGCATTCAAACGTGTGTGAATTTTTGGCGGTCATTTATTTTATTGTTCTAAGAACCTGATTTTCACTTAGTTGCGGAGTGTCGAAAATTTACTAACTGGTAACTTTTCACACAATACTCAACGACTTTTTTATCCGTGCTATCGATATCTACTGGCAATAAGTCAGTTTCAGCTTATTTCGCTTACCCATACAATAGGAAAACTCAAGCGTCTTACATTCATTCATCCTTCCTTGTTTGAAAACACCGAAAAGATGAACACATCTGATGTAGCTGATAATCAAGTACGCACACGCGCAATATGTTTGGAAACCCAAAGTTCGATAGCTGGTTTTATACTTACACACAATTTCACTGTCTGAAAACAGAACACTGACGCATGATTATGTTCAGATTTTCGGGAAATTTCGCTTATGCATCCAAAAATATGTTACCATTTGTAAGTGTAGTTGATCGATCGGACAAACAAGGTAGTTCTGAAACAAACACATATGTAAACAAACATTGTTGAGTCCAAACTGAGGTTTGGTTTTCGGCGTGACTTCTCAGCAGGTTTACAAACGCGTCTTGCTCATTCGAAACCAAAAACGTGTAAATTGTGTAATTAACCCTTCTATTAATAATCATAAATATAAATATACGTCATTGTCTTAACATTATTACTGCTGTAACTTTTGAATAATAACATGGAGTGTTTCCATTTATGGAAGAATGCTTCAGTTTTCAATCCAAATCACACACTTTGTGTCTTTATAGTCGCTCCAACGCCAGAGGAAAAACGTTGATGTTGATATTGCCATAATTACATTTCATCCGAAACAACATGACACACTTTGGAAAGAAGCATCGAAACTCAAAAATGCACAAAAAATTGAAACCATGATAATATGCAGTTTAAACCATCCCAAAACGGAATGGAGCATATAACCAAAATGTAGAACAGAGAGAGTCATCAACGACATTTCACAAAAATAATACAAGGTGGAAGTTTCCCAAACAGAGCATACCAAAACGGATCTAAACAAGGGGTCGCTAAATCCCTCCATACAATGCCAAGCCTTTTAATGCCAAAAATCATGGTTCACTCTCATAACATAATACACACTAGGAGAACGACTTACAGCATTAGGTCGACCTGACCTCCTACATGGATATAACCTATCAAACACGATTACGTTATTGATTCCTCGAACTAATGAAGCGTGACCGAAAGGTCGTATAAACTTCATCCAAATAAACCACATGAACCTGTATGATACGTTGAGATGCTGGTCAAATCCTGTTTGTGATATACACTGTACATTATAAGGAGGATGAGTAGTCAATCCGCCACCGATAACGCTGAACAGCGGACAGGATGAATGCATTGTTATCGAGCTCTTACGCCTGAAAATAATGGCAGAAAATTCACACCATCGGATACATCCATATAGAGCGTTTTAACTGTAACAGGAGTATTAAAATTTTTGTGTTCATATCCACTTCTATGATCTGAATATTTTATTTAGTTGTTCCTGTTGCAGCTTTGTGTGAAACGTACTGAAGTAAGTCAAACAAATGAATTGTCATCACTCCACAAGTCATAAAAAAATCCGTAGTGTCATTATCACGAAGCACATTCAAAGAGCAAATACAAAAAGAAACGTTTTTCGTATCGACATCCAAGTAATTAAAAATGCAGACAAAAGTAATATATATATCAATAGCATGGATAAACTTCATAGTCGCGAAGACGTCGGGTATTGTGTGAAAAGTTAGCGATTTTGAAATACTTATGACTATTTTGGTGATATCTGAATGGGTGCACACTGGAATTTTCGGCGCTTTACAGCTGAATGATAGTCAGCTTCTTCTTTGCTCTCTTCGTTTTCTCCTTGTAGTTTGACGTCACTCCGCGATCATTATCCAACTGGTCAATTTCGCGTATGTGTAAAAGGATCGGACTGTAGAATATCTCCTGTAAAATTCATGATGTTAAGACTCGCCAGATTTTATGAAGTCTAATAACGCTGATGCGAAAACGTTTTTTCCCTGGCTGGTTCCTTATTAAACATGGTAGCTAAATAAACCTCATTTTCGAAACAACCTCAGTTTCACACATTAGGGAGTATTTCGTTAAGCGATGCCGCTCAGACATTTCCACATTGTTGTTTCTATGAAGTTAAATTTCCGTCGGATTACTTGGAACATTTTTGTGCTCTGCTTCGTGCTCTTGTTCTGTTAGTATACTTTTTTCAATGTACATTACTCAATAGACTCATTAGTATGCTGTTAGTTGTTTTAACATGACAGTATTCATTAAACATGTTTCCAAGCGATAAATTGTCTCGAGATCTCTGACCTGCTCACAGCTTTTGGGAAAATAATGCGTTCGTTCCCTTGGAATTCTCAGTTTTTATTTAATTTGGGTTCTTCTGTGCATCGAAACTTCGGTTTTCACATGTCTAGACCACTACTGGTTGACCGAAAATACATAGTGTTGGCTGATTCAACGCCTAAAATTCGCATCTCCTTGCTTTCACACTTGATATTCTCATGTTTGACTACTTGAATAAATTCTTAAGACATTTTTATTCAATGAAATCTGTTTTTGGCTTCTAATTATCGACGTCTCACAGACGTTGTTTGCCTAAGTGTAGCATACGATATCAAATGCGTGATTTATTTAATAATATATTCGACTAATCGAACACACGAAAGACAAACTCAGACCACTAAATTGGCGAGCTTCACTTCGAATTAAACGCAGCCATTAAAATTCGTTTACGTTATCTTAATGTCACAGAAGATTCACTACGAATAATATTCCTTATGTTGAAAATATGTCTTATATGAAGCAAACATACAGAGTAATAAATAAATAAAGAAGCTAACAAGTTCGTTAGTATATCACTTAGTGCATACGCAAAATATATTTTCTGATAAATTTGTCGGCGACAGAAACAGGACTTGTAGTGCCTCCACATATATTCCAGTTTGCTTACACCTAACTTGGTTAAGCCCTTCCGATTAATCTATTTAACCAAGCCATTCGCGTAGCAACAATTTATATGTACTATTCGTTCTTATTATGGTCTGATTTGTATGAGCTCACATGACGTGTCATTTGACCTTGTCGATCATTCGTCGCTTTGTTCATGTAAGCCTATTTTGCTTGTTGTAGAGAATGCGCGATTGTGATTCGATAATGAGTTACGACTCTGCCAGAATATCAAGCCTTTGTAACGACAAGATCAATTGTGGTATCACACTAAATGCGCATCACCAAAAATAACGCAACGTTGAGAGAATCACATGTGTCATGCTTTCTCTCGTACCGATAATATTGTGTTTCGACGCAGTTCACCGGTATCAACCTACTTTCACTTTCCTCTATCATTCATGTATACACTGTGGAGAAGTGAAATACGTCACGTTACGATTCGCGAAGCTGTAAAATCTGTGTTCATAGTTTGTATTACATAAGTTACAGCTTCAAAAATGTTAAAATATGTTACCTAGTGTGTCGCATCACGTTTCGTGAAGTTGACAAATGTGTGTTCCTTTATCTTGTGCCGCATAATTTAAAAATGAAGAAATGTAAAATTAATTTACTTAATGTCTCATCTGTGAACGCACGTGAAGTTTGCTGCTGTTTAATTTCAGGCAACCTGTGCATTATTCAGGCCACATGGCTGTACGAAATGCTTTGTGATCAACCACAGTTTCTGCATGTTTCAAGCACTTAATTTCAGAGTTTATTATTTTGCCTTGATATGATCTTTCTTGAATTTCTATTTCAATATTTGCACAATCATTTTTTGACATTTTCATTTTGCAAAACATCAAATCTCTACTTACAATATTGCATACGGATTGCGTACCTTGCATTATCGTTGCACTATTGCTTGAATGGAAGTACTTCATAATTACCAATGAGAATTGCTGTTGAATTTCATTGGGTCGGTGGTTACTAATCCATCATAATTGACCTGAATTTTCGTCCAGTGACAATCAAAACATATTGACCAATTAAATATCTTATAAAAAGATATAAAGGCAGTGGAGAATGATTCTATTCAATCAGAATGTTTTTCATCTCGCTTTTTTACGTGAATGTCTTCATTCTGCTCACTCATGCAGTCAAGCAGGAAGGTAAGTCACTGAATTTTCTTAAAATGCTTTTCTGATAATTGATACACAGAAATATCCTCGCCCGTTATTCTGCCATGAGGTAAACAATGCAAATCAGAAATTTTCTGATATCGTGTCAGTGAATGAATTTAACTATTAGAAAATTTCACGGTTCAAATATAGACTCTGTTTGCAAACTGCATTTAAGACACTTTCAAAAATAGTTGTGTGATTGTGTTCAAACTTTTATTTGCTCTCAGATGTTTTGTTTCGTAGAACTGCGCTGGCGTGTGTTTAAAATTGATAAGTGTCATAGACAATGCAGTAAAGCCATAACTTACAATGAATCACAGATTTCTGCTACTGTGAAGTATTGAAACACAGGGTAAATTAGCTAATGTCTCTTGATGAATATTATAAGCTTGTCCTGTTTATTATGTGCGCCGCACGCAAACGTCACTCCTATCAGAAACATGTAAATGAACATCAGTATTATCTAAGTGCGCTCTCGATGGGTGAATGAATCATTCCCTGATCATTTGGAACATATTTTCATCAGAATGTGTACTCATCGGTTTCAGATTCTGTCACAAGTCGAATCGAACGCTTAAGAAACGATATGTCAGGTATCAGAGGTAAAAATATTGTGTGATTTCCATTTTTTATGTTCCTGGAGAATTTTATTTAAGTGATTTATTTCTGTTTATAATGTAGATCAGTTTCCAATTTTAAATGTCATGATTGAAACATTAAAATTGAATTTCGAATTCAAGATAGGTAACATTTTTAATTAATCTCACGTTTTCTTTGTTTATGAAATTAAGTCGCAAAAGTCATTCTTCGCTGTACGACCGCCTAATCAAGCAGTATTAGTAAACCTAGAAAATCAATAAATTGGTCATTAAGAATATGTAACACAACCATCGATCTACCACGATCGTAACAATTAATCATCTAGTGACTTCATCTGTTAATTTGACACTGTTGTGTGAACACGTAAACAATAAATAACGGGAAACTGATGATTCAAATATGCATTACCAAAATGATTGTTATTCAGATCAAATGAAAATGTGGAAACGAGAATGAGATAATATAATAATAATAATAATAATAATAATAATATAATAGACATTAAGGTGTATATAAAGTTCTCTTGTTTATGTTCTAACTGAGATAATATTTATCTGTTGGAACGACCGATCAAAAGAGCATCAGGATACTTTAGAATTTGCTCACAGTCAACCGGATGTCAGTTCATATATCTCAGTCGAACATACGAGATGTGTACCTTCATCTAAAAAATATTATTCACATTTTCCGAAAACTCTCCTCCACAATCTAGCTACATATAACAAAATGTTGCGAGTAAAGCTGCACAGGTTGAGATTAAAGTTACCGCTGGTAGGCGTGATAAATAGCCTGATGTATATTTGTAGGCAAGCGGATAGTCAAAGCTACCAGATTTTTGGAAACTGAACCGGACTTTATTTCTAGAATCACTAATATATATTAACACAAATTTAACACATAAATTTTCAAAATGACCACCTTGTTATTACTCACTTTTATTCAGCTTATTTCTACAAGACGAAAGACAATGAAAACATGACATTAAATGAATGTATGTAAAGCATTATAGTTTTGTCTACTAAACATATGCTTTTGTAGATGTGAACTGTAAAAATCAGTATTACGGCGCCCAGATTGGCATGAGTTACACAAGAGGTTTGAGGAAATGTCAATAAAACTGTTCAAATATGTATAAGTTACCTATTTACTGAACATGGTTCATTTTATTCGTTTACATTCGCAAACACATGCAAATCAAATCTGTACGCTTTGTTACGCATATATTACGCGTCAAAACTTGTTTATAACACAGCAAAATCAAGTCTGTGCTAGCGTTTATGACCTCAAATTCCGACCTTCATCCAACAACATTCGTAACCATTTTATAAATGCCCTTTATCATTTCTGAAAAAAGACTTTGCGCTATGTCACTGTGTTATGCACTGACGAATGTGTCCTAGATGTATGCTAGCGAATGTGCACAGTTTCTGGCAGTTTCGTTTGAAATGAACATCTCGATCGATTTTGTGCAGTTTGAAACAGATGCTTTCTGAGTACACATAACCTGCATTGTACATGTAATAATTGTTGTATGTATATCAATACGAAAGATCTGCTCTCTTTAAACTTGAACTTCCATAGCTGTTTTGTCATGAAGAACCTCAATCAAAGTGGTATTCTGAAAGTTGTACCACTTACCTACTGCTTATAGGTGTTTTAAACGTTACAAAGATATAAGATGAACATATATAAGTACCATCACATCGATACATGAGTGACAAATTAATGTGTCTCCTGGAAGATAATTTCTCTGCGAATAGTTGCTTTTGCCTCATTTACGTTATTATTCAATGATATTATTAGTATTGTTTTTTACACAAATTACACAGGTTTAAATGATTCCACCAGATTTTTGGAACAACAATACAAAGGTACAGTTTGTTTATAACGTTTCCGACATAAATTTTGGATGTGCAGGATAACTTTCATTCGCTTTTTCATGTAGCAGTGTGTTCTGCAATTATTTCGAAGATAAGCCACTGCGTTAGGCGTAGTTATGTGTAACAATATGACATTTCACATGATTGTTTCTTTACACTCGCTCGAAATGGGTGGTAGAAAATCATCGGCTTTTGAAATCATCCTCATATTCTTATTGAAAAAATCATGATAATCGTTTGATATCCTATACTTTCCATGCTTCTCTGACTTCCTTTTTTATCAGTTTTGATACAAGCGTATGAAGCTCAAAATGTCGTGGACAAATGGCAACGACTGGAATCATGTATCACTAACAAGGATAGTTTCTTTGACAGTAAGATTCAAAATTATGGTAAACATAACCCGTCGCTCATCCTACATACTGCTTCTGATATTCTACAGAAAGTCCATATTCTCTGAAAACGTCATATGCATAGGAAAACAATTAGTCATAAACAACCACAGTTACTACATTTTATTGAAAACGTGCACAATTCACCGACTGATGGTTAGTCTGATTGCATCAAAGTTCATTACAGTGAAATAGAGTATCTCAGGATTTGAAAACGAACTTACCAACTAATGTATAGGTTAATTTTTTTCAAATATAACAGATTATCGACGCTAAGAAAATATATCTCTTTCAGACATTTATCGACTCACAATGCGTTGTCATATCAATAAATATGAAGTGATGAAGATCACCTTAACAATACAAAGAAACGACATGAAAACCTTCTGAAGTCGTTTCCGAAACGAAAGTTCAGATTTCCTTGTTTTCAAATGTAGTTAGGACTTTAAGATGATAATCGAATCTATTCAACCTCGTATGCATAAATTTATTTCCTTATTTGAGCAGATATGGAAAAGCAAAACCCTTCGAAAGAGTGTGACAAACTCGCGCCACCCAAAGCAACGGGTAATTCTTTTACAATAACACATTTATAACAGTAAATCATACTAGTCTATGGGAATAATTGTTTTCCAGTGACATTTGGCAATAAAACAATAAAGACAATAAAACTCATTCGCACTTGGTTTTCGCTTATTTTATTTTAGGTTTTCTTGATATAGTCAAACTCAATGACAAAAGGAGGCATTTATTAAATCATTTTAATGGTCTTCTCAGTAAGCAATAATCATGGTTTGATCTTTTTTAAACTGTACTGCCACACAAAACCAAATGTGATGATTGATGAGCAGACTCTACTCATCGTCAAACTTAAATTTGTGGGCCATCTGAACAATCTATAATCATGATCACTTGAACACATAGAAATTTGTTTTATTTCCTTTATTTGTAGTTCAATATCGAATAATGAAAGATCTTAATGACTGGATTACAAAAAAAATTGCGACACGTAAGTTTTGCATCCAAGTACACAAACCGAATAAATGACAGTAGAAAAAGATTCGATAAAAGAGATATGTGTTGGAAATAACAAGTTCGCATTATATACCAATTTTATGTTTTTACAGAGGGTGCTTGAAGTGGACGAAGGAGTGCTTTCGAGCTTTTCCGATTGTTACGGGATCTGTTAAAACTAACTGAATGACATTTAACTTTCTGTTTTCGTAGTGACCTATAAATTATCACCTTTTATTCCATAAGCATCAACATAATCTTCAATAATCAGTAGTTTTACATACAAGACGTCAGTGTATAATTCTGTTGCAATAAATTCGATGATAAAACTAGTTTGAATTCTTCCCTGTTGTCCATCGATTGACTCTGACGAAGTGAATTTGATTAATTAACACGTCATTACATATTCGAATTTGCACTAATTCGGAAATCAACAAAGTAGCCACAGTGATTTTAACCAACAATAATTTAAGTTGACGGCTTTTCGCAGATTTTCTTGATGTAGCCTCGAGAATTAGGTAGATGTTCACCGTATGCAATTGTTTCATGTGCATCATATTTGCATGTCACAAGAAAAGAAAAGACAAAAAATACCGACTAATACAATGGAATACGGCACGAGATTACTTGGGGTGAATCCTGCTGGGATTTAGAGCACATCTGCAAAACTAACAAACTAGTTGAAAAATATTTAACGTACAAATAAGTGGATTCATTAAAGTCGAATGTGAACACACTTGTTTTCACGCCATGACTTATGAGAAATATAACAACCTAATGATTCTTTGAGACAACCGTGAATACTAAAATGAATCTATTCAAAGCAATTGTATCCTGATGCAAATAGATCATCATCGTTATCTTTACGAGACCCATTATACGAAAGTGTCCTTAGGCCGGTAATTACACGGGGAACGTTTTCAAAACTTGTTTGTAAATGTGAACCAGCAAAAATACTGAAAATAATGTATAAACAGCAAACACACTGGTGTGAAATCACAGCACAAACACATGATGCAGTGCAACAGATTACTATAATTTAAATGTTGATTGGACTCACTAGTGACGATTGATGAATCGGTGTGTGGTTGACTTAGAGTAGTTGATGTTGTGGTTTCGGGAGGTCGAGTGGACAGATCGGACGGAATGGACGTGGTGGTTTGCGGAGTGGATGGCTCGCTCGTACGATCCGTTGAGATGCCTAGTGTGTGAGTATGCACAAAAACAATTCACACTGAACATCTGGTAATATTGTGTGGTGAAATGCACGAGGTGAAAATATTGCTCGAAACACTTCTCGCCACAAATGCACGAGCAATCACGGAAACACTGTCGCTCTCGCTCTCGCTCTCTCCCTCGCTATCTCTCTCTATCTCTATCTTTCACTGTCTCTGTCTCTCGGTCTCTCACTGTCGCACTCTCTCAAACTCTCAACCACTCTCACTCTTCGCTCACCATCTCTCCCCTCTCACTTCTGCATCACTGTCGACATCTATGTGTATGTATACATCTCGGTGTATCTCGAAGACACACTCATGTTCGTGGTATTCCAGTCAGCTTCATTTGTTTGACATAAACGCAGTCGCATGTGTTAGTTAGTATATTGTTCAGGCCTTAGTACGGTTGCTCAACAAACAAGGTCGAGCGCATCTCGCTGCATTGATCCAAACCACGCTCGGCTTCACAACGCGAAACGAATACCACTCAACGTATCTCGTCTACACAGCCATTATCCTGTTGCTCTGGTCATTCTACTAATACATATCCAACGATCACTCGATGCATCTGGTCGTAATAATGTGTGAAACCGTCCGTCATCTGTGAATCGGAATTCGATTCAGTGATGAGCCAGATGCAGATTGCTCAGTGAGAAGGTTGTATTCTGAAAAGGCGATGTTGTTTAATGTGGAACTATGAGTAGTTGATTGTTTACCACTTATCGTGCAATCGGGTATACGCAACGAAAGCTCTCATAGTAGATTTTTACTATATGATATACTTTTTTTCAATATATTGATGCAATATATTTCACTGTAATTTTCATTTTATATATCGTTTATTTTGGAATCTGTTAATGTACGCTATTTCGCACATATTCTTTGTTTCAAAATTGTTATGTTCCTTTTTTGTGAATTTTCCATTTTGTTCTTAGTTTTTTCCAATTCTTTCAGTTTTTTTTCTTTGTTTATCAAGTTTCTTCATTCTTTCTGTACTGCAAATTTTCGATCATGGTGTTTTTTTGTTGACATTAGCCATACTGATTCTTTTCTGTATTGTGTCAATGGCTTGCAAGTACTCGAAATGTACATTCTGATGGGAAAATGAATTTTAAACACTCGGTGTTTGTAAGCAACCAAATATTATCTATCGAACAAATCTGTTCCAAACCATTGGAATAGAATATCTAGTCTCATCGTGATTCATGGACTGAAGCTGAACGACGAATTCCCTGCTATAAAGCAAGTGCCTTTTGATTTTCTTATGTGTCATGGTTTACAATAAAATAGGAATAATTATCTTGATAGTGATTTTTGTTATGAGCCGCTGTTAGAAGGCGTGAAAAATCTTGTTTTAAATTGGACGCTTGAAGTATCGGAAAAGAAAGTAACGTGTATTGCGCCCGTTGTGTGTCTGGAACAACTAAAAGCTGAGTTATTTTGATTGACAACCAAGAATGTAATGGACGTTTTTAAGGCAGTTCGAGACTTGCACAGCATCAAGAGTATGTGACGATAGCTAGCCGTTGCTTTATTTGATGCACCACTGTAGGCGCATTGCAAGCTGAGCCAATTAGTATTGTTTCGTTATGGAAGCCTCTGCTGGTTATAAGAGAGCTAATGTGAATCTTGAGACGGATGTTATTTCGAGCAAATGTGATAGATCCAGAAACATTTGAAAAGTTATTCAATCCAGTAAATGTTGATTATAATGACGTGGAGCAGCTGCGTCCATGGTTTCGGAACAAATGAATTATACTGAGGACTTACACGCTTTATTTACATTATAGAGAATAGTGAGGCTTTCGCCTAAACCTATGCAAGCTAAGTGGTCATAATTGTTGGATAGACGAGCTAAAGACGATAGAGAGCCAACCTTCACCAAGCTCACCGAATAATAAGCGTCTCGTGCAAGGGTCGCTAATAGCAGATTTGGACGGTTAGCGAATCGACCGAAAACGGGACGGGACTTGTAGATCAATTGTCACTTGCCATCCGGACAGCGGAGTTCTTCGTAAGTAAAAGCTGAATGAAGTATCTATTCAGATGACCTTGCTATTTATAAATGCACCCGATTTTTAGCGCTCACAGTTCCAGATAGATTATCTCGCACAAGGATAAAGGTCGTATGCTTCTTTTCTCTGAATAAAGACCATAAGGCTAATGAATGTAAACTGACAAAGAGATTCAACTTCGACAAGTGTGCTGCGTTAAAACCTAAACGATATCATTTCGTAAAGAACTAGACAGCGCCGCCGATCAAGTGTGTATATTATTGCGTTTTCGCAAGTGGGAAGTTGCCACACCAGCAGATGTTGAAAAAATGTTTATGCGAGTAAACGTTCCTGAGCCTGTTCTAAGGAGGTTCAAGAATCCTGTGCTGGCAAGATAGAGATATTTGAAGGGAACTTGTTTTGAGTACTATACCGGGCAAGACGAGTATCCTTACAACCTAGACAGTTATAATTCAAACCAAACCTCACTACGCCTCATTCTCTTACTGACCTAGATTCATTCGATTATACAATTGCAAATAGTGAAGTGCGCAACAAAATAACGTGAAAGCACAAAACACCAGAATGCGTGACGCTCAGATAACTATTCGTGTCATAGCATTGCTTTCAAATATGATCAAACATGCACGACGAATAAAAACAGTAAATAAGGATAAGAGAAAATATTACAACATAATGCATCAACAGCAAACACACTGGTGTGAAATCACAGCACAAACATCACAATATCACTTCAGTCTAATAAGTTGTCTGCCAAACCATATTTATTTCGGTATAGCTTTCAGTATCTTCTGACCAGATGCGAAGATTCTTTGGTAAACACTTAGAATCAACAATCATTGTGAATGTTTATAGATGTCATGTTTATAGTTATTACAGATATAAAAGTATGATGCATTTCCATGAACTTTTTAAGCTTATATATATTTCTTGCTGATTGTTTGTAGTATTATATTTCTTTCGAGTCATCGGTTTGAATTTTTCGGATTTAACTAAATATTTTTTGGTAAAGTCACGTTATTAGCATTAGAATGTCTGCTGTAGGAAGAAACGTAAAATGTAATGCAAGACAGATTATTAGTTTTGATTTATATAATTGTGTGTTTATAAGGAGTTTTGTGCTTAATTGTATTGTGATTGCTGAGTGATTGTAGAATATACTTTCTACACTTACAAAGCCTTTTGTCTTTAGCTTGGGATTCAACGTGGTAATTGTCTCCTTCGCGTTTATCGACAAAAGTAACATCATTATTGCTTCAAGAATACCTATTGATGAACCATACAGAAACCATGACACGTGTGGTGTTCTCAATGTCGCGATATTTTCGGTGCTGCGGATTCACTGCGATACCACAGTGAATCTGGTCGTTACACATTCTTTATATTTGTTCATAGTCTTAATGCAGTCAATATCTGGTTATCGAATCTCAATCTCGCATTGTTCACTGTCAAATATGGAAGAAATTCGTCCATCGTGACAGTCATTCAGTCAGTCAGTCAGTCAGTCCGACAATGACAACTTCCAACACATTATACTACATTTCAGCCTACTTTCGAAAGAGTACAACTAGATGAGTTCAGCAATTGCAAGAGCACTTCATGCAACAATAATCGTCGTGTTTGTGAAAAAAGAAAACTAATCTCATCGCTAACTCCAGATGTGTGCCTAGCGTTGCTATCCATGAACTGCAAAGTTCGTACTGTTTACCATAGACACATTGAAGTTTTATAAACAACTAACGCAATATTGATCAGGGAATGCTATCTGTGCTTGAACAGTTCAAGTTGACTCCAAGTACACCATTGTGCATTAGAACGATAAACACCATGTAGTGCACATTCAATGCCATTGTTGATCACAAAGCATTTTGCACATCTATGTGACCTGAATGATGCATAGGTTGCCTGTCATTAAACAACAGCAAACATCACGTGTGTTCACAGATGAGAAAATAAGCACAAGAATTTTACAATTTTGCGACCGAAAAATATGTGATATTTTCGGTGTTATCAAACGAGCAAGGATGAATGAATGTAGGACACTAGACTTTTCCGAT